TTTATCTGAGCTTCCATAGGGCTGATGTTCGAATGTGTTTTCTGCTGCTCAGTTGCAGTGGGCTGCGATATGCACAGCTGTTCACCTTCACTTTTAACTGGCTTCGTGTTCTGCCTCTCAGAAATATCGTGGTGGAGCTTCGTTCCGGCCGCCACCATAGCAGCTGCGCAGAGCGCTCCGAGCTCATCGACTGACTTGCTGAGGTTTCTACAGTGTACGTGATGCCCTTTGATTTCGCTTACATCACTTTCTATCTTCCGAATGATAGCCCACAGCTTGTTCACATCCAGAGACTCTGGGATGCCGAGAAAGTTTGAACACCTCTCTTCCTTCTCTGCTTTCAAATCGTGCATCAGCTCTGCCAATTGAACACCCATAGCAGAGACCAGGTCACTTTGGCTGGTAAGTTGGTCCTGAAGTATTTTAATTTTCTTCTGAAGCTCTCTTGTTTTGGTTCCTTCTTTCTTTTTCATGATGATTCTCTATAAACACAGCTTTTTCGCCGTTTTAATGGAGGGCTACGACGCTTATAAAAATGGTTGCTCTAAAGGTGCTTTGCTCACAACGTCACGTTTATTTTTATAATTATTTTGACAGGTTCCGCAGGCAGTTGGATAGCTGCTTCGGGACAAATATGACGCTTCTCACTTTATCTTGCTATTCTTACCTTTTTACAAATGAGGTTATTTTTCATCACTTGGTTGATATCTTGCAGTAAAAATGATACCAATATATAAAGCAAGAAACTTTCAAACAAATTAGCAAGTTTTTGTCGCGAAACGAACGTTTTACAGCTTCTATGTGTGCTACAAGCACGGAGCCTCCGGCGGACCAACCACTCAGCTCTGCGCCTGCGCAGAGACTGAGTGGACTCAGTCTCTGCGCAGACTGCGCCTGCGCAGTGCTGCGTAGTCGATGAAATTTCAGTGACTTTGGCTTCAACTCCGATTCCGGTGTCCAAATATCGACTCCGACTCCTCCGGGTAGAACTGTCAATTCACACAGACTCCGACTCTGACTCCGAATCTGCAGCCCTGGTAAGTCTGTGGAGTCGATGACTTTTCGGTGACGTTCGACTCATACTCCGACTACAGCTTTTAAAAATCAACAGACTCCGAGTCGGAACAGAACCGCTGGCTCTGACTACAACTCCGCAGCCCTGGCCCAAGATAGCCGCCTAAAACAACTTTGATGTTGTGATCTTCTTCGTACATTGTTAATGTTATTTACATACATCCAAACTGATTCTCCTAGTCCGCCTGATGTAAAAAGCTGCCCGTGCTTTGCAAACGTGACTTTGTTGTGCCGTGCTGTGTTTGTATCTTCATGTGTCACGGTTATGTTATGAAGATATGTTCTCCTTGTTTTGTCCTCAAAGGATGTCAAATAAATATGATGATGATGATGATGATTTTAAACAAGGAGTGGAAAAGGGAGACGAAGCCTTCACAAACAAGGATCTCCTGTTGCGGATCAATCAGCTGCTGGAACAGAAAGGCATTAACACCACGCATCTCATTGCATCGTTTTCCTAACGAATCTGCATCAATGTAAGCACTGATCAATGCAGTGCAAGCATCGATGTGACATTTGTGTACCAAGTTTGAGTGTTATACGCCCAGCCGTTCTTGAGATATGGAAGCGGCACCCCGCACGTGCGCACGTGCAGTAGCACCCCCATAGTGACACATGGAAATGCATTGGCCACTGGGTGCCTAACTATTGACGAAGTTTTACTGTAATGGGCCCAGCCATTGCGGAGTTACTTTATGTGGAACAATTTCGACACCCCTAAGTTGGCACGTGGCACGGGCCGTAACATATTAACTAAGATGAAGAAAATCGGGCGAAATTCGGAGAAGAAGGAATAAACCTACCAAGTATGTATGACATATTTTCAAACTGCTTTACCATTGTGAGTAAATGACCATATAAAAGGTCGTACAAGCCGATGGGACTGGGCGTTTCAATACACACCGTCTTACGCATTTTATTTTCGTTAATACCTAAAGGCTGCTTGACGTTTTTGGCTTTCAAGCATTTAAGACATTTTATGTCGTCTCAGGTCCAGTGAGATTACCTCCAACTCGTGGGAATATGCACTTCAAGCCAACTAACACACCACACCCACGTGTGTCATAATGCTGAGAGATGGCGTTCACTCGGCTTGCTCCTAACTTACGATAATTCTCTCGCTAGATGGCAGGCCTGATCCCAATGTCGCGGATCCCAATGTTAATTTCCACGAGACACCAATCCAGTGTTATATCATCCATGGTGCAGTTATTGACCGATGAATTTGTAACCTTTATCAGCCGAGAAATGCATATATTTCGTACTTTTCCAGAATTGGAGGATCAAAAGCATGCGATAGCATGCTTTTGCATCCGGAACTTCCCATTGGTGGGTCGCTGAAGAAAAGTTCGGCCAAGCCTGTTTGTCAGTATGTGAGTGAGTATGTGAGTGAGTATGTGAGTGAAGTTGTTGTATATGTTGTTATTCAGCTGGGACATAATTTATGTGTAAAAACGTTGTTTTGACAATAAAACTATATAGCTGGTGTCAAAACAACGTTTTTACACATTAATTATGTCCCAGCTGAATAACTACACAGTATGTGAGTGAGTTTGTCCAAGCTTTTTTGGACCTGGAGTCAAAATGGGTGGACCGATCGGGACGAAAGTGGGACCGTTCGACTCGTCTCCGGCGAGGTAAACTTTTGGTGCTGGCCTCGGGTCGCTCAGTGCTTCGTGGCACATGCTATTCCGCTTCAAAGTTTCGATGACACGAAATTTTTTGTCAAGGCTACAGGTCAACCCGAGGTCACGGACAAAGCCACACTGGCGGGACACATCGGTAACACCTTGAACCAGTTTCCAGGGGGGCCACCGTCTGCGAGGGGTGCAGGCTGCACGTGCTGGGGGCGGAAAACCGTTTTGACGTGAGGTCCTCTGGCTCAAAGAAATTTTGAGCTATCAATCTCAAAATCGGTTCAATGGTAGTCTCAGGCAAGGCCTCCAAAATAGTGCACATTTGGTTGAGCTAAACTCTGTGGTGCATGAGCTATGTACGTGCAAGCCGATTGCACCCCTTCGTGCGTTGCCACGCCTGCAGGGTAAACGGCCGCTCTAACTGGTTCAAAACTTGCAGGTCATAAGAAGAATACATTGAGTCATAACATTCCGGCGAGATAATATCCGAGGGGTGCAAGCTGCGCGTGCGGGGGGCGGATAACGGTTTTGACTAGGGGTCCTCTGATCCCGGGAAACGTCGATCTAGCGACACAAAAGTCGGAACACTGATAGAACTAGACACACGCTACATGATGTTATGAAAATGACTGCACTGGGGTGCCTGAGACATGAACTATGCACGTGCAGTTAATTCATACCATACTGTAGGTAGATATCCGCACCAATCTCACGTGCTTCGAAGCATTTTTGGGATGTTTCGTTTGGTTTCAGGTTCAGTCCAAGCTCAGTCTGGGTTTCGGTGGTTTGGCCCGGTGTGTGCCCTCAGTACCGTTCCTCCAATTCTGGCCCAAGGCAACGCAAGAGCGCTGCCGGCATCTAGTTTATTTGTATGAATATCATCCGTGCTCATCTATCTGCGGTGACCGTCGTCTTATTGAAAGGGTTCCCAACTAGAAGTTGCCACATTTGCATTGCATTTGGCGGACCATATCTCACAGCTCTTTGAGCTGACAGTTTTTATCAGACAGTTATTTAGGCTGGCACTTCTCTGAGTTGACTGCACACGTCTGACAGCCCTCTGAGCAAGCAGTTCACATCTGACAGTTTTCTCTGAGCTGACAGCTTACATCTGACAGTGGTGAGCTGGCACCTCACATCAGTCATTTGGGCTTACCGCTCACATATGACAGTTCTTTAGGCAGGCAGTTTGCTTGACATATCTGACAGCTCATATCTCACAGCTCACATCTGTCAGTTTTTTTTCTGAGCTGACAGCTCACATCTGACAGTTCTGACCTGACAGGGACCGCAGAGCCGGCCGACGCGTGTCCCTGCCACAGACTGATACCCTACACCGTAACACTAATGACTCGGAATGGAGTCTATCAGCACAGCCCACCACGTCTGGTCAGAGGACGGCTGATGGACAGTTACCAATGGCTCTGACGCACGTGAGAAAACTCCGAGAGCTCTGACGTGAGTAGGATAAATCGCTGTTCGTGGCTATCAGAGACGTACAGGGGCTATTTTTGTCATACAGTAAGACGCTTCGGAGAGGGGGGGACGAAGAACGAGTGAGGGCAATAGTGAGCCCCGCAGGTGTGGACGTGCAAAGTGAGGCCTTTAGCTAATTTGTGCGGGTTAACCATTGAGACGGCAAGTTGCGAAACGGATGTAGGGCTGCCATTTGCGGAAATTGAAGTTAATCATTTGAATTACGCCTCCTGAAAGCGTTACAGGTCAGGCTCCTCATTAGACACTAACATTCTGTCTTAATGTTGAAAAGACTCTTCTCGCTCGATCATTATGAAACAATACGTCAAGTGATCTGCAAGAGATTTCCAAAATATTTTTCATTGATGGAAGGGAAAGTTTAAAATGTTAGTCACCCCTGTGTTAGCTTTCGTTAGTGATAATTTCGTGCGTTTGCTTGGTAGTAACAGTTACAGCAAGCAAATGTAAAACAAATTTTGTGTAATGCAAGCACAACGTTTCCTAAATTTTAGATATTTTGCAACTTTGAGTCTCCATGGAAGCAAAGCTGGTCATTATTTATTGTTGGACCCAAATCTCCAGTCTCCCCAGTTGTTTATGGCGCCTATGATTGTTTACGATTCACCGAGTAGCCTCCCCATTAATTTCACGGCCAACTTCACTCAAGCCTACTGTACCCGTTGGCCGACGATCTAGCATTCCCCAAAGTTTCCATCATGCACCACATACCTACCAACCCTTTCTCTCAAACGGTGTCTTCGATGGTGTCCGGCTCTGTCACGTGATCGTCCCCCGTTGACTGCGTCTGCTCACCATTCTTATCACGTGACCGGCTAAAGCCACGGCTGAAGGACGGCCGTCGGCACAGGAACAGTCTGACGAATCCCTGGCGGAAGCTGGCGTTGAAGCCGCCGTACAGGATCGGGTTCCATAGCGAGTTGCTGTAGGCCATGAAGTACGCCAAGAAGTGGACGCTCTCGAACCAAGAGGGCTGTCGAAAAACGATGAAAATCTGTTAGATTGGCCTCTCTCGAAACTCTCGCGTCTCTGCCAATCCGGGCTCTCGAAAAAATCCGGTGGTTAGAACAGAAATGGTTGGTGTAATAGCAACAGAAAGCTGAAAAAGGAGTAAGTGAAATTATGTGTAAACATACACCCTGAAAAATACATATTATGATATTATGTGTATGTGCAATACAGTGCGGACAAGAAAAACAGCTTTATGACATAGGTAATGAAGAATCACTTCCCGTTATTTCTCCGGCAGCAACAAGACTGGTTTGTTTCATGTGCTGAACCGAGTAAATGACCAGCAAGCTCACACGATGTTGACCATCCCAGCCACTTATTTCAGCAAGGTGAGGCGTGAGCGTGTAAGTGGACACTCTCAAACCAAATTGGCTGCTGAGAAACGAGGTCAGTCAATGACTGGGTGTGAGAGAGGCTAGCGTGGTTTCAGGGATGCCAGGTGTGATCTTGCCACACCTACCCAAAATGGCGGGTATTTTGGCTTTACATTTTCAGTACCAGCATTGTGAATTAATTATTACGGAGCGAGCGCAGCGAGCGTAGTATTTCCTTAGATTAACGGAAATTTCTGAGTATGAGCGGCCGGCCGACCGGCCGTGGTCACGATTTTTGCGACGCTTATATCTCAGCAACCATTTGACCGATTTACATGCGGTAAATTTTGTAGGGTAGCTTCATTCCTTCTACCAAGTATTGGACTATTCCCGATGCATGTGGGTGACCTCTTATGCACGTGCCACGTGCAAAACGAAGCGGTGTCAGTTTTGTAACAATTGCAATATCTCGGTAACTACTGGGCCGATTGCGCTGAAACTTGGCATGCAGGTAGCACCCGGTAGCACCCACTAGGCAATGCATTTGCATGTGCCACAGTTGGGGTGCTGCTGTACGTGCGCACGAACAGGGGTCGATTCCAGATCTCGAGAACGGCAGGACCGATTGCGCTCAAATTTGGTACGCAGTTAGGGACCGGTTAGTAGGGTGCCGTGCAAAAGTCAGTTGGGACCCACTCTGCACGTGCGCAGGTGCAGGGTGCCGCTTCCAGATTTCGAGAACGGCTGGGCCGATTTTGCTCAAATTTGGCACATCGCTAGAGACCGGTTAGTAGGGAGCCGTGCACAAGTCAGTTGGAGGTACCCCTCGCAATTTCGTTTGTGCAAGGCCCACCCTCTCGCTCGCTTCGTTAGTCGCCCCAAAAGGCATTATACTGGCCTATGTTAATAGTTAAGTGTCATCCCCTGATTATTAGAAATAAATAAGTGCCCAAGATGTCGTGTACTTATCACTTCTTTGTAAAAAAATGTTTTTTTTTTAGTTGTATCCCGCTTAACTCTATTCTAGAGTCAGTAATAGAACCGGATATTAGATAAAACTATGCGGTTCTCTGGTGACCAAAGTCCGCCAGAGCCAGGCACTAAAACTAGTGAGTATAGATAGCACGCAACTTTTGTCAATACACCTGCATTGCCACAACCAGTTGCGTCGAAGTATGTATTGTATGTCCAGAGATTCATTACGTACTACAAAACTTTTCTTTCGCGTGCTGCTCCGTCTGGATCAATGCTAGAGGCTGGTCAACTGATGGCTTCCCTCCCCGCTCCAAGACACAGCACCTCACCTTTCATCATGTGAGAAGAAGTCATAATACCAGAACAATAGCTACAAAACAATGATTTGTGTCCACAAGTTCCGCATCTATTGCTCTAGTAGACTTTGAACTAAGTTAATTTTGCTGAGGATACACTGGTCTCACGCCGATCATTAATAAGGTCCGCTGTTATAAATAACCGACAGTTTGTGTTCCAAACGGTAAAGCCACGTCGTCGGAATCTTATTATATTCTACTGAACACACCGGAGTTGTCGTCATAACAGCATTCGCCTTAGTTACTTGTCACTGAGCTCTTAATTCAAAATATGTCATGCAAGTGGGAAAATCATGCTTGAATCGATGCATGTAGGCTACCTATGAACGTAACATTATTATGTATAATACTTGTAGATGTTGAAGTTTTATATCTGATGGTAACCTGAAGCAGAATGAACTGAAATTTTTAAATGTTTTCGCATTGCAACTCGACTATGGGCATCTAAATATTGCAAACATAATAGCAAATATATTGTATTTGCGTTCTTTATATAGACCTTCTTCAGGCATTTTCAATGTATGAAGTAGTTTCAAAGGTATTGCAATTTGTCGGGCCTGGGTAGCAACATGGCTCCCTCATTTCTAATTGTAGCACTGAAGTCTGTAGATCAGAGAACACATTCACTTGCACTTAACTTATAGCTGACGTCGACCACAATGCAGGAAAGATGTATTTTACTCAATAGCAAATAAGTTATGAAATTTTGGTTGAGGTATTACATAAACATTTCAAACTTTGTAAAGTATGTTGTTTTTACTTTTAACCCTCGCCGGCCGAGGGGGGGGCGGGTGCCGCCCCCCCATAGGGTTTTTTCGCGATAGCTCCGAACGCGCTGGCGATAGAGAGCTGAAATTTGGCATACCTGACCTTTGATCCAAGCCGCATCTTTTGACACCAATCGCATTTTTGGGTCAGGTCAGGTCACTGACCTATGACGTCATAAGTGAACCTCTGCACGGTCTTCAGATGTCGCAACTTCGCAACGCCCTCACTGCCAGAGGAGATGTCACAGGGAAATGAAACTTGCAGGATCTAGTATCCATTATGAGTCTCACAACTTGTATATCTCGGATTTTTCCTAAAGGTCATATGAGGTCAGGTCATTTTCGTGACCTCACCATTATAAGTCAATGGGGAAAAATGAAAACTGCTATTCTGGCGCCGGGAACGATCTCCAACTATCTCAAGCACACAGAATCGTGATTTGATGCACTCCTTGCAAGGTTAGATGCGTCACTTTTGCAATGTTGACCTTTCGTGACGTCATTTATGACGTCATCAAGGTCATATTCGTTTTTCGTCGACAACTCCCGATCAAATTGAGCTAGCGAGTCGGGAAAGCCACCAATGGACTCAGGAAGACCTGCCGAATCGAATGATATGCGACATGACCTCTTTCGACCAACTTCGTGACCTGGGGGTTCTGACCTGACCTTGACCTGAGGTCAACACCCCAAGTTGACCTGACCCGAACAAAAAGTATATCATTCGACGCGCCTGAGCGAGGCAAACACGATGCTGCCAAAATCGCGGCTCTGCGGTCGTTTTTGGCGAAGTTATTCACCAAAAACTGAACCGTACCTTGGGGCACTTGACCTGACCTCAGAGGTCACCGGTTGACCTAGGACCTTAAAATCGGGTACCAATCTCTGCGTCTCGTAACGGCGCACACGCTCGTTTTTTCCGCGACGCGCTAGCTCCACCAGGGGCGAAACGGCGAGGGGGGGTCGTACTCGCCCCCCCCCCCTCGGCCGGCGCGTATGTAGAAAACCAATAGGTCCGGCGAGGGTTAAACTTCCCACACATATTTATTAATATTTATCACAATAATAACCGCGTATCTAAAAAGAAACACATGGAAAACCAGCCGTATTCATACATGTCTCCTTTCATTCATACACTGCATGCAATCATTAATCAATTCATGCATGCACATACACCCCTGAGCACACCTCATATTGGGATAAGCACGTACTCGCGCACGTGATAACACGTGATAACATTAATTACAAAATAATTAGGTCTAGCGTCTTATTCATTTCTACAGATGTGCACCTTAACTTTTTGATGAAGTTCTTGGAAGAGCAAAACTTGTTTACCACCAGCTAACTTTCATATATTAACCTTTGAAGTAATGCAATTAAGCTATAATTGCTAGCATGCTAGCATTGCTAGCATGCTATCATTGCAATTAAGCTATTACTATAATCACGGAGCGAGCGAAGCGAGCGGAGTCTTTCCTTAGATTAACGGAAATTTCTGAGTATGAGCGGCCGGGCGGCGGCCGGCCGGCCGTGCGGACGCTTTTGCGAGGCTTATATCTCAACAACCACTTGACCGATTTACATGCGGTAATTTTTGTAGGGTAGCTTAATTCCTTCTACCAAGTACTGGACTATTCCCGATGCATGTGGGTGACCCCTTATGCGCGTGCTACGTGCAAAACGAAGAGGTGTCAGTTTTGTAATTGTTGCAATATCTCGGTAACTACTTGGCCGATTGCCCTGAAAGTTGGCATGTAGGTAGGCACCCACTAGGCACTGCATAATGCATATCCATGTGCCAGAGTTGGGGTGCTGATGCACGTGCGCACGTGCAGGGGTCGTTTTCAGATCTCGAGAACGGTTGGACCGATTGCGCTCAAATTTGGTACACAGTTAAGGACCGGTTAGTAGGGTGCCGTGCGAAAGTCAGTCGGAACCCATTTTGCACGTGCGCACGTGCAGGGTGCCGCTTCCAGATCTCGAGAACGGCTGGGCCGATTGCGCTCAAATTTGGCACATCGCTAGAGACTGGTTATTAGGGTGCCGTGCACAAGTCAGTTGGAGGTACCCCTCACAATTTCGCACATGCAAGGCCCACCCTCTCGCTCGGTCCGTTAGTCGCCCCAAAAGGCGTTATACTGGTATATAGTAATATAGTAATGCAATTATAGCTCATGAATATAGCATTGTTATTTAGAACACTCAAAAATGGTTTGATATTGTAGTTCATGGTAATATACGTAAAAAACGTAGCAATTGTTAAAAGCGCTATAAAGTGGCCAGTTCTGTCAAGTAGCATCTCGAAGTACCAAGTAGTGTCCAGTAGCATCAAATAGTGTCCAGTAGTGTTAAATACTGTCAGTGGTGTCCAGTAGGTATAAGGTAGTTGAAACAATAGTGCATAATAGTGTAAAATAATGTCCAGAATTATCAAGTAGTGCCCGTAATGCCCAGTGACTTCCTGTATTGTTCAGAAGTTCCCAGTAGTGTCCAGTAGTGCCCAATAGCATCAAATGGCATCCAGTAGTGTCCAGCAGTGTTGCGGTAGTGCAGAGCAGTGTCAACTAATGTCCAGAAGTATCACGTAGTGCCCAGTAACGTCCAGTAACTTCCAAAAGTGTCCAAAAGTGTCCAGTAGCATCCAGTAGTGTCCAGTAGTGTCCAGTAGTGTCCCGTGGTATCCACTCACCGGCGCGCTGTGGCCCGTATCGATGGCAAACATGGAGTACAGGCTGATGACCTGCAGCGGCAGCCAGCAGACCACAAACACCACCATCACCAGCACCACCATCTTCACCACCTGGGGAGACGGCGGGGTGTGTCGCCACACACACTAACTACACAAACACGCAACCTAATCAGCACCGCCGCCCTCACCAGCTGGGAGTAAAACGCGGTTTAAAATACTATTATAGCATTACAAAGTACGGTGATCAGCATTAATCACTATCTGGGGTGTAACCAAGTCTCACCAGCTGGAGTGTAACCAAGCATCACCAGAGGCGGATCCAGCTCAGAGGTTTGGGGGGGGGGGGCAAACCATAAAAATTTATCGATTCTTTCCATGCATCGTCCATAGGCGTAATGTTAAAATCATGCCGTTTGGGGGGGGGCAAATGCCCATTTTGCCCCCCCCCCTGGATCCGCCACTGAGCATCACTACCTGGGCGTTTAATCAAGTATCACCAACTGGGGTGAAATAAAGTAGCACCACAGGGACAGCGTAAAAACTATACCAGCATTTGACCAGCTACATTCACTAGTGCAAAATGCAAATGTGACAACATTTGAGAGACAGGTAGGTACAGTGTCCATAAACGATTTCATATAAATTTACAAATGACCCATAAATATCTCGCAAATTACAAAGGAATTTATCAAACCTGCCTTTCGTGCAATAATATTCTAGACAATGAGGACGCAAACGATAATAAAGGACGAATAGTGATAACCTCATACGAAGAGCCTAGCCACTGCGTACAATGTTGTACTTAACGATCTCTTAGATCCTAAGGATACCAGAACACTACCGCGGGGAAGCCGCAGAGATCTCATACGAAGATTGGCCTGATGCTGGGCGCGCAGAGCTGCGTGCTTCTTCACATCCAATTTCCTTCGATAAATTATAGAGCAGGCATCCGCGCACAAGTTTTCCGCACAGACCACAGTCTCTCCCTGCGTGCTCTTTGAGGTCAACACGGATCGCACTATTTTGATTCATAATTTAAGTTGAGGATGGCGGGATACCACGAGCTGTATATTTTTTATCCAAATAGGAGAGCTTTATGTGGGTAAATATCGTCATTAAGTACTAGCTTAATACAAAAGCAAAGCTATCTCGACAAGTCATGAAAGGAAAAGGAATGTGGCACCATGTTAACCCTTAGTTTTGTGGAAGCATCCCAACACTTAACCCTCGCACGACCAGGCCATTTCTCATAACACGAACGACCAGGGGGGGGGGTTGTTACGACCCCCCCCCCTGGCGTTTCGAAACGGAAGGTCGTAGAGCTTAGCGGAAAAAACCAACGGATTGCTCTCAACGAGATCTCGCGATTGGTGGTATATTTTTTGGTCCTAGGTCAACATTTGACCTACTTATGACCGGTAAAAGGTCAAATTTTCCGAAAAAATCAAACTTTTTCAACTTTCCGCGGCGATTGCGGCAAAACGGTGGGAGATATCGACTTTGAACCTTCACTATCGTGTTCCTTGATCAATTCTCTATCGTTTGGTATGTATTTCGTTTCCCTAGCTCTAAAAATGGCGCGTTGGGAGCGCCGGAAGTCGGCAAGGTCACAGTCGGCGGCAGAAATTCGAAAAATCAAAATTTAAATTTTTGAAATCTGATTGTATTTTTGGATTTGGGAGGTCCATTTGCTCCCTATAGAAGCTAATATTGCTGCATATTCCCATTGAGGTGACAAGAATTAGCAAAATAGTGGTTCGGGCGCTTTTCAAAAATAGTACCGGACGCTGTTCCTCTTGTGACGTCATAGCTCCGTGACCTGACCTGACCCGGTCAATTTTCTTGCACCACACGATAGCCAATGCTTGCCCCAACATGCATGGGAAGTTTCATCATGATCCATCAAACAATGTGGGTATCACCGGCAGAAAACCTAGGGATTCGGCGCACACGTTTGGTAACTGTCGGCCGGAGGCTGTACCTCTTATGACGTCATAACTCCGTGACCTGACATGACCCGATCAATTTTTTTTCGGCAAAAGATGCGCAAAGGTTGCCCCAGAGGGTATTGAAAATTTCAGCCCGCTACGACAAGCCGTTTAGCGTGCACTTCGAAAAAACCTCAGGGGGGGTTGATACACCCCCCCCCCTAGGCGTTCTAGGGTTAATTGCCTACCGACACAAGCGAGAACATTATCAACCATACATTTCTTAATGCATATACACACATAGTGCACTCGCTAACATCCCGAAGAAGTGCCTTCAGGCGGTGCAGACTCACCCTCTTTTTTGATCCATTGCTCTGGTGTATCTGAGACTCCATTCCTTGACTGGGAAAGGGCGACAGCCACAAACGCCAGACAATCAGCGTGTAGGCGCCGCCCATGACTGCAATCGGAGCGAAGAACAGAGCCACGGCCACCTGCGCCAGCGAGAGAGGAAGAGAGAGCGAGGGAGTTAGATGAGTTACATAAAATACCTTAAAGACAGAGAGAGAGAGAGAGAGAGAGAGAGAGAGAGAGAGAGAGAGAGAGAGAGAGAGAGAGAGAGAGAGAGAGAGAGAGAGAGAGAGAGAGAGAGAGAGCGAGAGAGAGAGAGAGGCTAGACAGAAGACGCTTGCAGTTGTGGTTACGCACAGTGTGACATAAGCGGCTCGAGGAATACTTTTCGTCCCTACTTACGTCTAGATTCTTTGAACTCCAACTCAATTGAGAGTTTTGTTTCAAAAACTTTTCCATGTTTTATCACAAATCGCCAACAAAGTAAACTTACTGACAAATGACGATCATGGGTTTGACACTACATGTTATATTCCATCGATTTCAATAAACGTCAGAATATGTACGAACCAGCCTCCTCAGAGCCATAAAGGCAGACAAATCATAAAATACTGGTAGTGCATAAGCTGGTGCGTATGTCTTTTCTATTTGACTGTATCGCTTTCGAGAAGTTATTCCGATTAAATGACTCTTCAGAAAAACAATATATGCTCCGGCATACGCCATACGCATTGAATGGGCCGAATCAATAGATGAAACAAAGGGTAACCAATTCCGCATCGAAACTAATTAGAGAAGTTTCAATGGTCATTTTAGTCACTTCGATCACAGTTGAAACTGGCAGTGTATGCTATAGGCAATTGGCTGCCGTAGTAGAAGTACAGTATAACCACATACACAAAAGAAAATCAAGCATGATATCAAGATCCTAAATAGAGAATGTTCATAAATATTCTTTAAAAAAAAACATGTTAGAAGCTTATGCAAAACAGTATGTGAATCTTACACGAGGATGGTTTGAACACGGCGTGCTGGCCCAAAGATAGTGCTTCACTAGCTTCGGGAAAATGAATTATTCAAAATTTATATTGGCGTTGAAGTTGAGCATAAAGTACGTAGAGGCTTACATGTTACCACGGAATATATAGTCTACGACATGGAATGGACAGATCGCGATTTAACCACGTTAAACGTGTAAAGGTCGTTCTCCACGGTACATGTTTTGCGCGTTTTCAATGACGTTTTAACGCTTTTTTGATGTTTTGCGAGTTTTTCATGATCCGGCGTTGATCTGTACCATTAAATTACACGGTGCCATCTCCACGGCGGAAGATTTGTCAAAAATCGAAAAACGCGTGGCTTCATAAAATCAAAAAACTGCAAAACTCGTAAAACGCGTCAGGTTGTGTCATGCAAAACTCGTAAAACCTTTAAAAAACGCAAAACTCTCATTTGTAAAAACGCGCGATTTTATCCAAACATTTGGATCGAATGAAAGTTTTCCGGTTTTTGACAAGGTTGAAAAGGTAATCCTTCTGCTATTAATACCATTTTACGGTGAAATGGATGCAATGGAAAGCGTGGAAAGCGATGAAACGCAAATTGATTAAGCCAATGATCATGGCAAGTACTCAGACAACCATACCAATAACTTCTGTTGCTATTCCAACGATGTGGATGTCAAATAATTACATAGTGAGTCTATGGATAACAGATATAACGATATCAGATCATTTCAGATAATTGATAATTAACTGATGTCATAGCGGTGATAACAAAAGGGTAACGTGATAATACTCCTATAACTATCTTTACAGCGAAAATCGAGGGGTTAATAGAAGCCGTGCGCCAGATACCTGCCCTGTGGGACAAGAGGGCCACGGCATACAGCACACGAAGGGCGGAGAAAGACGTTCTTTCTCTGAAATTGAAATTGTTCTGACATTGTAATTGTTCTGAAAGACTTAAAACCGTAAAAAGCGAAAAACTCGCAAAACTCGCAAAAGCGTCTGTTAAAAAGCGAAAAAAGCGCAAAACTCTCGTTTGCTAAAACGCGTAAAAACCGAACATGTTTACACGTGGAGACAGTACTTAACTCGAAAGTAAGCTAGGAGGCGCCCGTGTTTTAAACGCACACAGTGTTCTTGCGCTAGAAAATCAAATATTTTTCGCAAAACCACGAACAAAACTCGACAACCTAAACAAAATTCGACATTCTTGTACAGTAGTGATTAAAGGGTAGAATCGACGGTTTATTTAGTACTGCTAACGGCGATATACCGTTAATCTTTTCATTCATTTGATTTGTTTGTACTTTTTTATTGTGATTAAGATTATGAATGAGTTTGCGGATTGGCGTTTTTTTATTGCGAATTTGTGAGCTCCAAAAGTGATGAAGCCCAGCGCGGTTCGCTGCGGCTATTGCCAAAAAGCGATATCAAAATCGCAGCTATCTAGACACCGGAGAAAGCTGCATCCGTGGCTGCCTACGACCCGGCCCGGCCGGCCCCGCAAAAGCGAAGCGCAACCGGCTGATGGTGTTCCTTCGCCAGTGGAGCTGCTGCTTCTGGCTGCAGGCACATTGCCGGGTAAGTTTGTATAGCCTTATTATTAATGAAAAATATTTGTTTATAGCATTAAGTTATTTATTCATGTATTAGTTAGTTATTAATACAATTAATCTAGCCTTTGCGCTATCGTGACCGCCGACCGCCCGTCCAGTCACACGGACAGGAACATACTTCTGATCTCTCTGTTCTACGAATTTGTTCTGATCTGTGGTCTTCGCGCATACGTAACTAACTCATTTTTCTTTGGTCACATATTTCACTCGCTATTTTCACTCGCTGCTCGTTACCCCTCATGCAGACACGTGCTTTGCCTTTGTCAGGTTCGGTCCAGGCACACCAGCCTGCTCCGACACCACCGACGAGTGACGGCGATTTTCCTGTCGCCCCTGATGCCGGCGAGGGGCCAGCCAGACCCGTCGATGCGGCGACCGCGGTACCAGCTGACGCTGTCGTGCAAAATCGCGCGCATTTCACTGGTAGGTAAGGGACAGGGCCGAAGCATGCCCTGTAGTTGGAAAGCCGTTAGATTCGGAACCACGAATGGCAGCTCCTTCAACAGCTCTATATCTGGAGCCATTTTCCGCACTGCTGGCGGCGATTCTCGATCTCTAAAGCTTTGCGGTACAGCATAACTTCAGGCGCTCGCTCTTCCTGCCATCTAGCGGTAGAAAATGTCGCGGCAGTAGAATCGCCATTCCTTTCCTCTCTGTTGACTATCATGTCAGCACATTCGTCGGTGTTTTTTTTTCAACCGCTTATTCTAAACAGTAACCGAAGGCACACTCCGGAGGACTGATTGGTGTTTCGTCTCTCCCTCCAGGTACTGCATCGCAGTGTCGCCACCATGCGCCAGTCACCGCCGCTGCGGACAAGATCGTAGTAGACGCCAGCCCCCTGGACCAGCTGCTGGCTGCTGCCGCCTACATGGAAGTGACGAAGACACCGACAGGGGCCGGTAAGTTTTTCATTGAAATGATCGTGCAGTTTGGCAGGTGGTCACTCTAAATTGCGTTGTACGGGAATCGCTGCTCCAGGAAGCGTTTTTCTTTTTTTTTAGCTGGAATAGATTTTGTTAGACGAGGCGAAGACAAATGGACAGCGTTGGTAAAGTGCTATTTATTGTTTCTGAACTTAGCAGAGGGTTGAATAGTGGAGCTCGGTTCAGGTGGAAATTGGTACATGGCACTCGCTGCTCGTTACCCCTCATGCAGACACGTGCTTTGCCTTTGTCAGGTTCGGTCCAGGCACACCAGCCTGCTCCGACACCACCGACGAGTGACGGCGATTTTCCTGTCGCCCCTGATGCCGGCGAGGGGCCAGCCAGACCCGTCGATGCGGCGACCGCGGTACCAGCTGACGCTGTCGTGCAAAATCGCGCGCATTTCACTGGTAGGTAAGGGACAGGGTCGAAGCATGCCCTGTAGTTTGAAAGCCGTTGGATTCGGAACCATTGGTCGTATCATTATTGATCTTAGAATCATTGGTCGTAGAGAGTCGCAGAAGGCGGCAATCAAAAGCTCTCAATTAGATTACAACTGGGCAACTAAGCCTGTCCCGTAGCTCAGTTGGTAGAGCGCTGAACTCCCGGTAGTGAGAGCCCGGGTTCGAGACGTTCCGGTGCTCGATATTTGACACTCCATACTGGGATGGTCTGCGGTTGGTGGGGGCAGCCGCAGCCAGTTGAAGTCAGTAGAGTGGGACAGGCCGTGTCCGGCTTTGAAGGGAGCATTTGTTATGATTGACCAAGGCCATACTTGTAACAAAAAAGCTTTGAGTCGCAAATAATTTTGAATTTGTTCAACCATTGCAAAGTTGAAATTGTGATTTTGAGCAGGGTCAAAGTCAGGGACGGGTCACAAAAGATCACAGAGGCCGCTTTTCACCAAATATCACGTAACATAACGTCATTAAAAAGTCATTTTCTTGAAAGTAATTGTCAGAAGACGTAGAATTGATGCAAGATGAGGTAATGAAAGTCACAGGTCCACATCTGATATATTTCCTAAGTTATTGCAAAAATTATCGAGGGGGTTCATTTACTCCCCCAGTTACGCGCGGGTTAACAGACAATCGTTTTTTTTTTTTTTTTTTGCTTTTACCCATCCGGCCCTCACCTTCCGCACATTTCCTCACGACTTTCAGCCCGAGTTTGCATTAACCCGCGCCCTGGTGGGGTCTGTTTATAACGCGACCTGGTGGGGGGGGGCTATTTTTTGCCCCCCCCCCCTCGTATCTCCGAAACTACTGGACGGATCCGCAAAATTCAAACGGCGTTCGAAAGGCCTGTCAAATTTGTCGAAGGAAACCAAATTTCATTGACCTCGGGGTCACCGATGACGTCACAGGTCAGGTCAAAGATGAAATGTTTCACCGTTCCCGGGTCTTCTAGGGAATGCGCTATAACACCGAAGAAAACGCATTTTGTCGAGAATCAGCGATAGGGCGTCAGGTGCCTAGTACATATGTTGCTATTAGAGGTCACTGACAATACCAGGTCAGGTCACAGGTCAGGTCACCAAGGGTCACAGGTCAGGTCACATGAGCCCAACTTTACTATGGTTGTGTGATGCATG